TATATTTTACATTTATTATTCAATACAAGAAAAATATAGCTTAAAAGTAAATTAGTATAAACTTCCATCCTTTTTAGATAGTTATATTTAATTATAATTAAAGTACCTAATTATTATGTATATCTAAAGTAAATAAAAAACAAATTGTTACATAGTATCACAATTAAAGGAATAATAATTTTTGAGGTCAACTTTTTTTTTAAATAATATATATGTTAATCAGGATGTAAAAACAGGTCACCGTGCAACTTAAAATTAATGAGTGACCTTCTTGAAGTATTATGTCGGAAAGTTAAATGAAACATATTTCTGTATTATAAACAAATAATGAACATGTAAATTTCGTGAAAGCCCCTTTATACCATTTACAACATAATATTTTTTCCTTTTTTTACAGCACCTGCTTTTGCCTGATTGCAAATCATTTAAATTGGCTTCCCAAATAAAGATTTACAAGTCTCGAAACAGTTTTCTCTATTAAACAGGGTGTATCCTAAGTCTCTGTCAGAAATTAAGGGGTTGATTCCTTGGGTCATTTTAGGCCCAAAAATAATTCGGTATATTTCTATATAAATCTGTCAATCAGGGGCGGAGATTCAGGAGAGCTTTGTCATTAAAACCCTCAGAAAAACTACGTCATTGGATATTCAGAAATACTAATAGACGCGTTTAATTTATTGTCATATTTTTAATAAAAAAAGTCTTGCATTTTCTTCACGCAATAACCCATTTTCGAGTAATATTTTTTTGATCATATTTAATTTTAAAATAATTTCTAATAGGTATTTCATGGTGTAAAAAAATACCTAACAGTAAACTATAAAAGTCAACTATATGTTAATTATCAGAAAAAAATCAAAACAAAAAAAATATTTACAGAAGGTGCTGAAAATGTCCACCACTGGCAGCAATACAAGCGACGAGCCTTCGCCTCAACGACTGTCGCACATTTTCAGAAATTTCTGGCGTTTGTCCGAGTTGCTGACATCTATTTATGATTCGTTTTCCTAAATCTGCTTCGTCTTCTACTAGTGTTTAATAAACAGTGGATTTGACAGGGCCCCATAAAAACAATTCTATACAAGGGTAAGGTCCATTTCGTTCAATCCATCGGTTGAAAAATTTTTCGTTCAACCAGTTACTGGCAACTTTACTGAAATGAGCTGGTGTTCCGTTGTGCATAAACATCATTCATGTAATTTTGTAAAAATTCTTTGTTTTATGAAGTCTCAATGACAGAAAAGCATAATTCTATTCGGCGGGGAAAATCAGGAGGAATAAGTACTTATACACACTGTATGTGATAGGGTGTGATATAGTAATTGATCTTTCAAAATTCTCCATATTGTTGTATGACACTTGAACATCGCGTGCAATGATTCTTGTGCTAGTCTGAGGATTATTTTCAATCTAATACAGCCTCTTCCACTTTTGATGTTCTGGTGGTAATGACATGCATGTCTATCTGGAACTTTTCGGTTTGGAAATGTTTCTTAATATAAATTTGTAGCTCTATTTGCATTTTCATTTACTTTACCATAAATAAAATGCATATATGCCATTTCTAAATTGGTATACTAATTTGAAACTTTTTACAGTTACACTGCGACACAAAAAAGTAAATTGAACTCCTTAACTGAGTAATTTAACTACATGTCAATTTAATATGACGTTTATTAAATAACGAGAACAGCCCACTATTCAAAACCATGAAATATTAGAAATTATTTTAAAATTAAAAATGAACAATAGGCCCATTCAGTGATATATAATTTTAAACTTTTTCTTTCATTTTCTGATAGTATTTAACCACCTAATTATATCTTAAAAAAATTAGGTCAATAGGATTAATAATAAGTGATATATTTAATTCTGAATTTGTAAGACCCTTAAAAAGGTCAACACTGCGAGAGAACAGCTAATGACGTCACGATACCGGCCACTCGGCGATCAAGTCGCGAGCAGACGGAGAGATGTGTAGATATTTGCTATACTTTTACCTATATTATATATCTATATTTTTAAGTGTATAAATAGAAAGTGTATAAGAGATATACATCAAGTCTTGTTGAAATGCATTTTTCACACAACATATTTATTATAAACATAGAATGTCTTGGAATATCTAAATACATTTTCGGATTTTTCTCAATGACGTAATTTTGCCTTCCATTTTGTGTACAAATGTACCCAACGTACTAGACTCGGTACTTGTGGATGTATGCGACGACGTGTATGTGCGAGCAACTCAGAACCACCCTCGTTTTTCTTTGATTGCCCGTCTATATTATTATTTAAATAAATTACTTATAGGTGCCTCTCGCAACGTATTTCGAAATTTTTGTGGACGGGAACGTTTAGATGGGGTAGAATTTATTTTTTCGACATAAATTTGAAAATTCTGCTCTAAATGTTTAAATAATAATATTTATAACCTCTTAGACGGGCAACCAAAGAAAAACGAGGGTGGTTCTGAGTTGCTTATAGGTCCCTCTCGCCGACGTATTTCGAAATTTTTGTGAACGGGTACGTTTAGATGGGGCAGAAATTTTTTCCAGCATAAATTTTATAATTCTGCTCTAAATGTTCAAATAATAATATTTAAAACCCTCTAGATGGAAAACCAAAGAAAAACTAGAGTGGTTCTTAACTGCTTATAGGTCCCTGTCGCCGTCGTATTTCGAATTTTTTGTGAACACGAACATTTAGATGGGGCAGAATTTATTTCCGGCATAAAGTTGAGAATTGTGCTCTAAATGTTCAAATAATAATATTTTACAACACCCTAGACGTGCATCCAAAGAAAAACGAAGGTGGTTTTGAGTTGCATACCGTGGCTGGGGAAACCGTGGATAACATCACACAAACTTTTCATTTTTCGGTAATGAAATAAATATTTTATTCGGAGTCGATCCTGAGGTACTTTTGCAGCCTGGAACTATACAATATTTGTACAATCCTCGGTTTCGACCCATTTAGACATAAAAACAATAATTAACGAAACTGCGAATCGATCCACATATCGTATGTATTAACACAGAATGGGATGAGAGCGAGCGGAGTGCACTGCCAGTCGCCCGTGCCGGTTTAATGACGTCAGCAATGGTTGCTCAACGTTTTTCCGCGTTCTGTTTTCATTAATTTATTTCACACATTTCTCGTTGAAACAAAAAATAGATTTTTGGCATACTAACTAATTAAAGGGTAAACTTTTGAAATATGCAATAAAAAAATTTTACTGAATGGGCCCATTAAAATTATAATTCGAAAATCGTTTATTCTGTGAAGAAAATACAGGAGACCTTTTTTATTAAAAATATAACAGTAAATTAAACGCGCCTAAAAATTTTTCTGAAAATCCAGTAGTTTTTCTGGTGGTTTTAATGATAAAGCTCCCCTGAATATCCGCTGGTTGACAGATTTATATAGAAATATACTGAATTATTACCTTCAATTAGTTACATCATTTTCCCAAGTTTCGTCAATCTACGTCAACCAACTTCAGAGAAAATTTAGAAAATGTGATATTTTCAAAATTTTTAACGCTTTCTATCTTGGAAACCGCTAACATTAGAGCCCTGGTTTATTAAGGCTCTTGGGCCTAAAATGACCCATGGAATCACCTCCTTAATTTATGACATAGGCTTAGGATATACCCTGTAGATAAGTATCATATTGTAAAGAATAAGTAATGCTACTATAGATAGTGTTTATTAGTGATGCCAAAGGCAGATCTGTGCACTAAAAACATAAAAATCCCATTCGTTTGTACCAGACAAATGCCAGAAAATTTTAAGTTAAGCCTCATTTACAATAAGTTCTCCTAATTTACTAAAAATACATCCAAGCAAAACAGCAGATCAACTCTTGAACAAATATTTTTATAGGACGTAGTTTTAATTTATTTCGATTTACTTAACTTTAAGGTAATTATTTACTATAGCATCACCCACAACAACTAACATTGTTTATGAAACACATTTTCGCAAATTTCAAGTAAAAAAATATGTATTTAATAAATACAAATTTTGTAGCTTGAATCCGCCATTTACAATTCGTGATGACATTGAGTTCTCCCACTCTCATTCATCTCTGTTCATCCCACATAAAGTTACTATAATTTTATTTATTAAATAAATATTTTTTTAATTCATATTTCGGAAAATGTGTTTCTTAAACATTGTTGATTGTTTATTACAGATGTTCTGGAAGCTACATAAAATATACAGAGTTCTGCATAGTGTTATACAGGGTAGGAAAGTACCGATGGTCTATCTGAAGTTACGTGAGAGCGATAAAGTAAGCCATAGAAATCCATGCGATAGAGAAGGATGGCTATAATGAAGGCCTCTCATAGTCACCGCCCGTTTCGCCCTTCCACAAATAAGATCCACTTCTTATTTGTGGAAGGGCGAAATGGGCGTTGACTATTAGACGCCTTCATTATAGCCATCCTTGTCTATCAAATGGATTTCTATGGCTTACTTTATCGCTCTCACGTAACTTCTGATAGACCATCGGTACTTTCCTACACTGTATGAAATATCCATGTTAGAATTTTGAAAAAAATTTTTCTCGGAAACTGGGTTCGACCGCACAAAAATAGGGATATAGACAAAATTCTATGAAGATTTGGAAGGGTGATGGTATTAGTAAATAATTACCAACTTTAATATATCTACTTAACAAAAAACAGACCTCTAGTACGGCTCATTTTTCGAACAAAATGAAAGAGACCTATCTTCTTACAAATTCCATTCGTAATAAAAAGCACCAATCGAATTAACAGAATGCTCATGTGGTATTAATTTCTCATATTTTCGCCACAGAAAATGTGACATTTTTGTATAATTTCAACACCTTATATCCTGAAAATGACTCAAACTATGGTTCACTTCACAGGACTTTTCGGCTCAAAATAATTTGTTCTATTACCGATAAAGTTTCCGACTTAAAACCTGAGCTATCTTGTATAGGATGGATACTTTTAGAAAAAAAAATACGTTTTTAAATTTTGGGACATCGTACTCCCTTAGTATTTTAATAACATTTACAACAAGTACCGTTTGCTTCAATATATATAAAAGTATATAAAAATTACACGAAAAAGAACCAACACTTAATAACCATTTATTTTAATAACATTTATAGTGGACGTGGAAGTTTGGCGAGTCTCTACAACTCCTTCATTAAAACTTTCGCTTTGTCTTGCGTTATCTCATGTCCCCATTTGTAGTGACTTCCGTCTCCATTATTTTCCACCATCTTTCTGATGAGTTCTTGAGGCGTCGATTTCATGTCATAAGCCCAGCCAATTTTTTCGAAAAGATTTAGGACAAGTGTAGTCACGTTAAGATATGAACCCACTTCTGCTGCTCGGTAGTCCCAAGGGAACGTGTGATGGTAATTATGATACCCTTCTCCCATGCTCACGAATGAAACTGCCAAATTTTCCGATGGGCAAATCTTGCTAAAAATAGGAACATTACATTAGTATAGTGATAGGAAAAAAGAAAATTTGTATTTCCAAATATTGATCAATTTAGCAATCATTAGAAGCTCAAAAAACAATAGTCGGAGAAATAAGAAAAATTAAAACAATATTGCAAAAGTTAAATTATATAATCTCAAAGCTCAAAGTTGTTTAGAACTTAAATCTGTTTTTATTACGTACTATTTTTGAAGAAAATGAACTATAATTTTTTATATTATCTTGTTTATGTTTTGTTGCTGACAATTAGATTAAAATAAATTGTTTAAAAAAGTTTAGCTTATTTATTTTACAAAACAATTTACATTCAACTGCTTCATAGGAAGTTAGCTACTGGGGCATATTATTTAAACAATTTAACACTGTTGAGCTTATTTTTCGAAACATTATAAAAAAAACTTACTTTACATTCAACTGCTTGATAGGAGGCTAATAGGGATTTTCTACTCTTACAATTCTAGATTTACTTAATACAATTAAAAACTAATGAATAACAAATCAGTTTTTGTCAAAACATAATAATATGTAAACTGTTATAAATTAATTAAGAACGTGGTTTTTAGATTTAAGTTTACATTTTCGCCAAATGTATGTCGTATTATTCTAAAAACTTGTTATTGTGTGTTATTCATGTTAATATAATTAGTACACAAAATATATCAGGCCTGGTAGTAAAAAAAAATGGTGGATAATACAAGTAAGTGACTCTTTTGTCCTATGATATCCTAAAGAGCGTCCCTTCCAAGCTACAGCCTTTTAAAGTTTTAAAAAATGTGTACATTCTTGATTACTCGTTAATAACGATAAATCAAAATGAACCAAAATTTGTGAGTTTATGTTTTCAGCATGCATTACTTAATTCTGAAAGAGAGAAAAATCTAAAGAGTTAGGGATGGTTTTACAGGAAATTGCTGGCATCGCTGTTGATCACTTAATATGGATTTTTCTTCTTCTCTTATATTATGCCAAGAAAATTACAGTAGCATGGCTATCTGGATCTCCGAGTATAATCTGCTTGGTTGTTATTTTTCGTGTCACTTATTTACTCACAACAAATACAAACAGTTGAACTACGACAAATATTTTTTAATGATTTTGAAACGATATAAATTTCGCCAGTGTTTTTAAGGTTCATTTCCAACAACTACAAATAGATAAGTAGAAAAACAATCTTTCGTCTTCAATTCAATGCAACAGAAGAAAGTAAATTTGTCTAATCGAAATTGCTTCATCGTAGATCCTGTAATAATGTCAATCAGGAAGAGAAAGGTCAATTATTATACCCTGAAACTGAGGGTTTTATGCTTGTAATTCAAGATCATGTCATAGTCACGAATATCTCCAGAAAACATATTTTAAAGGACGATACAATGGCAAGTGATAAATGCAGAACAAGCCATTTATTTGGAGAAACAATCGATCACATAATATCAAGCAATAGCATTGGAATACCAATTACTTAAAAACACAGATCCATATTATACATACACATTAAAAACTATATTAGCAAATAAATATTATAAATTATATTGGGACCACATTATATTTCCGGATAAATCGGAAAATATCAATTATATAATTGATACAGCAGTACCATCTGACCAAAATTGTCATCAATCATCATAAAAAAATATTCAGAAAAAAATTTAAAATATTAAGAACTGGCAACAGAAATAGAAAGGATTTGGAAACAAAAACGCCATTGCGTTTATTATTTCAACTCACCACACTTGCTCAACAAACATTTCACGCAAACCAATTTAGATCAGAATATTCATACCATTGTCCAAAGAGCAGTAATTCTTCATGCATATAATATAACACGATCATTTTTAAATCAGAAATAAACTTCTGATGGATTTGGTTTTGACCCATCTATCGGAAGGATACACAAGTGAAGGTTGTGAAAATAATGATAATAATACATGGTGTCCCGTAAAGTATGTTACGGGATACCCATGTTGTTATGTGGTGACAGTACTTAAAAAAATATGACTAAAAACTCTAATAAACATAACCTCTTAAACGCACCGTTTTCAAGTTATAGGCCTTAAAAGGTGCAACTACAAAAGTAGTTTTTGTGACGTAACTCTTTGTTGGAAAAAGAAAACATAATGAAATTTTCAGGGACTAGTCAGCTTTAGGAAGCCAATAAATAATGTGGATATTAATAAAATTGAGAAAGCGGAAGGGTGTTTTTTATCACCCTGTATCCTATTATTTGCCAAAAAAAATTTTCTGCAAAGATACAGGAAATATCATAAGATTTTTAGAAAGACCATTGAATTTAGAAATTTTTTTGTCTCATGCATTTTTTATGTAAAATGATTAGTTTTCTAATAAATTTACAAAATGCAAAGGGTGTTTACTCACCGCTAGGTGTTAAATTTGACGAATTCAAAAAGTAGGCGCCTGTCACTTTTAACATAATTGACATTTGTTACCATATTTTAATCGTGTCTGTTGACGAATTATTAATTTGTGAGTACAATGGCGGATAACAATCGTTTTACTAATCAAGAATATGCCGAAATGCATTTTATTTATGGATTATGTAATGGAAATGCAACAGCTGCTCGAAGAACATACATAGAACGTTATCCGGAGATATTAGAATCTACACAATTATTTACTCGGATTCACATACGGATTATTGAAACTGGTAATGTGGTACCCCGTTATATACATTGTGGTAGAATTGCTAGAAGACTACCCGCGCAAGATGAACAAATTTTGAGATCTTTTGAACAAAATCCGGCAGAAAGTGTGCGAAGGGCAGCTACTTAATCAGTTACAGCTTTCCAGAATGTCAGTTTAGCGTGTTTTGAAGGAAAACGGCCTTTATGCCTACCATCTCCAAAAAGTGCAACATTTAATGCCTGAAGATCTTCCCCGACGCCCAGAATTCTGCCAAATAATATTAACCATCACCAACATAATGTGGAATTTATTAGCTCCATTTTATTTACCGATGAAGCCACCTTTACACGAGATGGTTTACTGAACTTGCACAATGCACATGCATGGTCAGACGAAAATCCTCATGCTACCATTGATAGTCATCACCAACACCGATTCTCAGTCAACGTATGGGCTGGAATAATAGGTGACTATTTGCTCGGGCCTTTCTTTCTACCTCAAAGGCTTGATGCAGTAGAATATTTAAACTTCCTAGAAAACCATCTCCCTGAGTTAATGGAAAATGTTCCTTTAAATTTGAGACAATACATGTGGTACCTCCATGACGGGGCACCTGCGCATTTCAGTGTTCATGTTAGAGAGTATCTACATATGCGGTTTCCTAATCGATGGATTGGAAGAGGATATAATGCACCAATAGCCTGGCCACCGCGATCACCGGACTTGAATCCTGTCGATTTTTATCTTTGGGGACACGCGAAATCTCAAGTTTATGCAACCCCTGTTGATACAGAAGATCAACTTAGACTGCGAATTGTAGAAACCTTTAATTTAATAAGAAATAGTCTATTCATATTCCAAAGAGTCAGATTTAACTTTATAAAGAGACTGACAGCATGTATCGATGCAGAAGGAGGTCAATTTCAACATTTATTATAATAACATATTTTGTTTTAGTTCTGTTTTGGTTACTTAATTAAAAAAATTATTTTGGAAATTGATTGTATTCTTAAAAATTCACTAGGCTTAAGAAATGTATGTAAATAATTCGGAAGCACTCATCTCTCTGCATTTTGTAAATTTACTAGAAAACTAAACATTTTACATAAAAAACACAAGAGACAAAAAAATTTCTAAATTTAATGGTCTTTCTAAAAATCTTATGATACTTGCTGTACCTTTGCAGAAAAATTTTTTTTAGCAAAAAATAGGATACAGGGTGATAAAAAAACACCCTTCTGCTTTCTCGATTTTATTCATATCCGCATTATTTATTGATTTCCTAAAGCTGATTAGCCCCTGAAAATTTCATTAAGTTTTCTTTTTCCAACAGAGTTACGTCATAAAAACTACTTTTATAGTTGCACCTTTTAAGGCCTATAACTTCAAAACGGTGCTTTTAAGAGGTTATGTTTATTAAAGCTTTTAGTCATATTTTTTTATGTACTATCACCACCCAAAGTTTGTAACATACTTTATGGGACACCCTGTATAATAACTCGAAATTTACTCGTTTTTCGAATAAAAGACATTTTTTCTTTGATATTCAATTTGGAATCAAATGGATCTACAAAATTTTTACTATACTAAGTGGCGTCGAAGTTTTCTTGTTCTTATGAAAGGTGTTTCCCAATACCTCCGCCACTAATGGTTAAGGAATTGTATACAACTTTACTGAATCTTTACCAAACTCTTTAATAGTATCCATTCATTAATCTATCACAAATTTATTTTCACATATTCGCTATCTGTATTTTCCAAAAATGTTAACACTTTGTATCTCGGAATCTAGGAATTCTATTCCGAAGTGATCTTCCCTTATTATCGGAACGAGTTTAACACCAACCCTGCACATTTTTTTAGAATAGGCTCACATAAAATCGCCACTTTACTAATATTTTATATTTGCCAATCCTAGTTGATAAAAAGGGTGCGATGAAAGACATACTTACATGTCATATGGTTTATTTCCATATATGTGAGCAGCACTATTAACGAGCCAAGTGTAGTTTAGTTGCATCACATATCTTGCGAACACTAATGCCTTTATGGATACAATCCATGACTCTCCCCATGCCAATGGAGGGATTATTGTTGGTAGAATGAAGCAACAAATTAGTTTAAACCACATAAAATGCCTGAAAACGGAAACATGAGTGAATAAACGGTTGTTTAGTGTCATTACTATTATAATAAATACATTTTTAATTATACACTTTTTCCACACAATTTACTATAATTTAAAAACTTCTCTATATTGATTAGTTATTATACAGCAGATCTTAAGTTGTCTCTCGATATTTTCAGGACAGATAATATATCAAATAGTAAGGTTTTTTTTATATCACTCTTTTTTCAGAAAATATATAATAAGGGTACACACCTTTTTTAAGGGAGGTGAGAGGTCTATCTTATTCGTACATTAAATTTAGATCTCTGGATATTAGTTTTCCTATAGTTATATTGAAATTTTAAAATATTTTAAAAACACACAATTAACGCATGAAAATCCAACGACATTCACATGGTAAAATTATTTCATGTTCGTTCAATCAAAGTCCAATGTGTGTAAAGAAGAACGGTAATTATAACATTTTTAATAAACATAATTTATCCTGTTTTATCTCCCATACATGACCAAAGTAACGGAAACACTTCACAAGAATCATACGACGGGTTATCTACAAAAATTTTAAGGTAACTTTCCATTTAGTAATGCTTATTCCAACTGTCGATAAAGAAATTTGACAAGAAAGTGTCTCAATTTTTTATGACTAATATTTTTTTTATTACAACTATAAATTTGCGAACTATTTTAATTTAAATATACCATCTATACAGGGTGGCCTACGAGATATCCGAGATAAATTCTATGAGTAATTTTAAACAAAAAATGATTTTATCCACTTTTCCCGAATCCCAAATGGTTTTTGAAATATCGAGGTATGAAGTCGACAGGTCATATGGGTAGTTTTGTTGCATCTAGAGAGCTTAGAAAAAAATGGGGTTTATTTTAATAAAAGCGTAATGACAGTATAATTATTAAAGATGCTTAACGTGGGCATCTTGTGCAATGCACAACTCAATCCTCTGTCGAAGCTCTCGTTCCCAATTGTAGTTCTCCATATCGTTTTTGGCCTCATCAAACACTGTATGAATTTTCTCAATGAGTTGGACCCTGCAGTTAGGCTTTCTTATTGAATAGGTAAGTGTTTTCACATGTCCTCACATGAAAAAGTCCACCGGGTTGAGATCCACAGATCGCGGTGGCCAAGCTATGGGATCACCACAACTTATCCATTGGATTTGGATTGAGGAAATTAGTGACACTTCCTTCAGAATGGGACGGAACACCATCATGTAAAAAGAACATCGTTCTTATGATTTAAAGAGAAATATCCTGAAGTAGTAGAGGTAGATTGTTTTCCAAAAAAAACCGGTACATCTCGCTGTTCAAATTTCCATAGAATGTAGTTCGATAACTTCATTATTAATTATTCCAGCCTAAACATATATGGAAAATCTTCTCTGAAAATAGATTTCTCGAATAGGATGAGGGTTCCATTCACCACACATGATCGTTGTGGAAATTGTTGATTTCATCTATTGTAAATGTGGCTTTGTCACAGAAAAGGGTCCTTGAAATAGTGTCCAGATGATTGCTCCACCATCACAAAGACGAATCTTTGGAGAAGATCCGTGGGGAGAAGTTCTTGTACCAGTTGGTAATGGTAGGGATGCAGTTTGTTTTCTTCACAGCTGCCCTATTTCGTCCAGAAAGTACAAAAATTCATCTCGAACTAGTATCAAGATCATTGTCAACAAACTCAAGCACTTCTGCAGCGTTGTTTCTTTTTCACAAGCCGTTTAACGGACTCACCTGTTAATCGGAGAGTTGTGAAGGTTCTATTGAACGTTTGCTTGTCTGGAAGACAGCGGTTTAGATGTCGCTGTTGATATTCCCTAACTGAGATGATGGTACCACCGGCAACGTTGCAATATCTATACACGAAAATCGACTGTCAATGGCGACAATTAACGAACTGACAAACAACAATTTTTTACTAATTAGCCAAGTTACTAATTATTAACTTATCTAGTCCTCTAGACGCAACAATGCTCTTTAGCAGCTACCCATACAATCTGGCAATTTCAAGAACCGTTGGCAATTCGGTAAAAGTGAATAGAATCATTTTTTCTCAAAATTAGTCATAGAATTTACGTATCACGGATGCCTTGGTGGGATACCTGTATATTGGCTAGTTTTGGTATTGCTGCAGCGATTGTTTGCGTCTATTTCATTTCTAGAAGCGATTTATGATACCTAGTTTTCTCCATTATCCAAATTTTTTTGATAAAACCTTTAAATATAAAACTTTCTTAAACATTACTTTAACGATATGAGAAGCTAATTAATATCAATAATTTATAATCTTTATTCATTCATTCACTACAACTTTATATTTTCCTATTCTTTTTGTTTAAATATTTGAAGTCTTTTTGCTTATTAATATTTTCGGTAGCGTTATACGTTACTTATCTGAAAAATTTTAAGTCCTCTTGCAATATATGTGTTGTAATATATGTCGTTTAATTAATATTTTTGTTAAAATTAACTGTTACAACTTTACAAATAAAATTTTGTTTCCACTTAAGAAAATTGTGAAATATTCGATCAAGTCATTTATTATTTTGAAAGAATTGATATTTTAATCTTGCACTACTATTTCGTTTGTTATTTGTTAAAATTAATTAATTGTTATAACTTCAAAGAAAAATTAAATTTTGTTTCAGCATAAGGAAATTTTGAATAGACGGAATGTTTGATCAAGTCATATTTAACAGTTTAGTATCTTATATAGACATAGATCATTTATCATTATTTATTAGGACGAATGGTTTGGAAGTATTGGATACGGAAATATTAAGACAGACCTTAAGAGTTGTAATATCTATAGAACCTAGCGCGGGAACAACAAGGGCAGGTTAAATCTTTCTAGCTAAGGCTAAGTAAGTGAAAGGTAATTATGTAACTGGCAGCGACACACACAGGCCATAGCATAGCAACACGAAAAACTATCACATTTTAAATATTAGCACGTGCTGTTAAAGCCTTAAAATCACTATTAATTACACTTACTTAATAGAAAGACCAACGCTAATTAAATTTAAATTGATAATAATAGCGAAAAAGTTAAGTTTAATACAGCAGAAACCATAGTCAATGAAAAAATGAAGAGTTTCAATTTCATATTGCTTAGATATTAATTTATTGGAAATAAAACGCAGAGTTTTGAGTGCAACCTGACTTGAAGCACGTATTCACATAAAACTCACGTGCAGCGAGGGCTGATCCCAGTCATTCATTGTTTTGGAAATGAATAAAATGTAAATCCTTTTTTACATTTCATTTAAATAATCAATAGGTCTTACCCTATTGTATATTTTTTCGGTAAGTATTCCCAAACGCTTGGCAAATTTTATTGATGTTTTAATCTAACAGATATAGGTAGGTATATTTTCCTACTTTCAATACATTTAAGAGATCTAATAAATTACGGGACTGTTTACTGAATTAAAAAAATGTTATCTGCACAATTTTATGTTATATTCAAAATCTTCAGGTTAAAGGTATATTATACAGGGTGGGCCACCAGTAACGCCTCGGTCGCTAGTGACCAAACGGCAAATGTTACAGAAACCTGTTTAGGTGGGTATGTGTAGGTTGATTACGGCTACATTTTAAAAATATTTTGAAATATACAGGGTGTCCAGGAAAAGCGTACCATATCAAAGTTATGTATTTTTAAATGGAACACCCTGTATTTTACTGCATTTTTGAAAGCACCGTAAAAA